TATAAAAGTTCCACTACAGACAAAACCTTCTAATGAACACTAATATTAATTCTGGGATTAGAGCATTTACTTATATTGGCACTGTTTATTAATATCTTTTATTTTCACACTTACAGCAAGTGAAAACCTCTTACCCACTTTTAGCAAGCCAAAACAAATACCCAAAAGCTGAGAAGTCAAAATATGTGTAACAAAACTACAAACTAAGCAATGAAGTAAATGCTTTAAAAAATTCAAGATGCTTCAGATTCTTTTTATGTGCAGGGCAGGGTGGCAGTACTTGCTAGGCAGGCACTCCACTACTTGAGCCACTCCACCAGCCCTCTCAACCATTTGCTTGGGCTGGCCTCAAACCACAATCCTCTTGATCTCTGCCTCACAAATAGCCAGGATTACAGGTGTGAGCCACCAGCACCTAGCTCTGTCAAGATTCTTGAAAAATTTTAACACATACCTTAAATAATTTTTGGATAATGAAACTTTACTATCATAAATGTACTGATGCTTTTTTAATTTATAAAATATCCTTGTGTTACGAGTTAACAACTTAATACCTCCTGCATGACATTAAACAAATTCTTTAACCATAGATATACATGTTTGTGTGTGTGTGTGTGTGTGTGTGTGTGTGTGTGTGTGTGTGTATATGTGTGTGTGTGTATATAATATATATGTAATTTCCTGTTCAGGCTAGGACATAATGGGAAACACACTCATTTGTAAATTCTGTTTTAACACATATTCATACACACATATAAATGTTTGCTTTTTTATATCTAAAGCCAAGTATTAGGGCTAGCTATGGCTCAAGTGGCAGACCACCTGACTAGCAAGTACAAGGCCCTAAGTTCAAACCTCACTACTCCCCACCTCCCAAAAACAACTGTGCTTTGTAAAGCTAAGTATTGACCAAGTATGGTGGGGCATACCTGCAATCCCAGCACTCTGTAGGTTAAGGCAAGAGGATCATGAGTTTGAGGCCAGCCTGGGCTACACAGTGAGACTATTGTCTGAAAAAAACAAAAATAAATAAATAATTTGATAAAGAAAGCCCTTTTTAGTCCATTTTGCTCTGGCTATTTTGGGGATGGGGTCTTGGAACTATTTGTCCAGGCTGTCCCTGAACCATGATCCTCCCTATCTCAGCCTCCCAAGTGCACAGGATTATAGGTGTGAGCCACTGGCACCTGGCTTTGGCAAGCATTCTTGCAACAGCTATGCAAATTCTCTGAAGGTATGCAAAACTCAGCGTACATACGCTCATGTCTCTTTTCTCAAACAAGGGTCCACAGTTTTTCATCAGATTCTCAAAGGTGTCCATGACCCCAGAAATCTAAAAGCCCACTTTATAGCAACCTTTATTTTCTCTATTCCCCAGATTTATAATATTTATAAGATTTTCTTGGAAACTCTAGGCACAAGTTAAATTCTAATTTACTCAACAACAAAACAAAGAAGCCGAGTAACTAAAGCACAATCATGAGGGCTGGGGTGTGGCTCAAGTGGTAGAGCACCTGCCTAGCAAGCACAAAGCCCTGAGTTCAAAGCCCAGTGCTGCCAGCAAACAAACAAAAAAAGGATGGTCACGGTCTGGATGTGGTGGTACATTCCTGCAATCCCAGGTTCTCGGGAGATGAAGATCAGTTAGAGGCCAACTTGAGCAAAAAGTAAAGGACCCCCCCCCCATCTCAACAAATAAGCTAGGATGGTGGTGCATACCTATAACCCTAGCTAGGTAGGAGGTCAGTCTGAGGCTGACCCAGGCAAAAAACACAAGACCGTATCGGAAAAATAGCTAAAACAAAAAAGGGCTGGGGCGTGGCTCAAGTGGTAGAGCACCTGCCTAGCAAGCACGAGGCCCTGAGCTCAAACCTCAGTGCCACCAAAACAAATAAAAACATGGTCATGGTAAAATACATGCTTTCCTTTACTCTGACTTTAAAAACAGAATCACTGTAAACTCCTTGAGCTCAAATTATCCTCCAACTTTGCCATAAATAAAACCAAATACCCAAACTCAAAGACAGTTTTTAAAAATCTAACCAAAAACCCAATAGCAACACCTCCCTCTCCCCAAATATGAGGGAAACCTGAAATAGCCCTACTGCTTCTGCAATGCAGTAACAATCACTCCTTCTTTGGAGTTAATTGGCCATTATTCATTCCCTCATTCTGACTCAAACTTAACAACCTTCACCTCAAGCAGCTACTCCACTGCTTACGTTTGTGCAGTAAAGGGATCGCGTGGGATGGTGGAAGGAAACCCACACTGGGAGCAGGAGAAGCAGGTCAGTCCTATTGGGTCAACTGCCTTAGTCTACATGGAAGCTCAGAATCCCAAAGACACTTGCTACGCCAATGCTGACCCTCATAACCAAACCAGAAGCTTACAAAGGGAGGTCACCTGGCAACAGTTTTCTAGGTTTAATGAGAAAACTAACCAACAACAACATTTGAGTACAGAAAGTTCTGTCCCCACTGCTAGCACTCCGAAGGCTTATATACTCAGGACCGTGCCAATGTCAATGGTGGCCATTAAAACTTGAGCTTAGCATTAGAAAGAAAACTAGACATCTCTACCTCACTGCTCCTTTTCTTAAATTGAACATCATGGCACAAAAAAATACTTAACAAAGAACTGACACGCAAAAAATACACCAAACAGAGGAAACAGTTGTTTGATATGTAAAATCTTATTTTATAGTTCACTGAAAAATACTTGCTATAGAAAAGGGCAGCTTATTTTCATCAGTTTTTTTTTTCCCCCAAACTCCCTTTTCCAAAACAAGTACTGCAATGAACTACAAAATAAGACTTTATGTACCAGGATATCCTCATGCTGAAGAGGCATTCCTCCTGTCCAAAAAAAAAAAAAAAAAAAAGCAACCTAAACAAATGTTAAGAATCTAACACATCTGCAAGTGAAACTCTTAGAATGTACTTCTGTAGGAGCTGGCAATGTACAGAAAAAGGCAATTTGTCATGGCAAGAAGTTTTCTGAAAGGCTGTGCCTAATATTTCAGAACTAGAATGTGACAGTTCTCAAAAGAAATATGAGAGGTGTTCGAATTCCTAATAGGCCTCTGTTCCCACTCTAAGTACTACCACAAACAACGGTCAAGCTGAGCTCACAGCGTAGTTTCTGAGGCCTAAATCATCTGTAGCAATTTCCCCATGAGGCCCATTGTGTGAATGGAAATCAGTAATTCATTTGAGAATGGTAGACATACTAGAGGACAATGAGGCCCATGCACTAAAGTTAACAAAAAGTAGAAACAAAAGAAAACAAGGTACATTTTTGTGGAAAACAATGCCCCAGAATCCTGCAACTAGTTTAAGTGTACAGAAAAGTACAGATGAGATGACATGCTGGTACTTAATGACATACACACAACACATTCTTCCACACCGAAAGATAACATTTAGAATATGATCTATACCCTTTTATATACAACTCCAACACCGACAGGGTTCTTCAAATGTTCTACCTCATAAACAAGACTTCTTAAGTAAAGTGTAATGAGACCAGCTGGAAAAGATCACCAGGAGGCATTACTACTCTGGCCAACATTTCGTATTTAACAATTGATGGCATGTCTTTGAAAGTTAAAACACAAAGACTTCAGTCTCTACATTCAAACACTATGTGGCATATTTCAACTAGTTAAAAGACATAAAAGATTAAATCCATAACGTCCTATTTCTGAAAGTTGAATTTAGAAATTACTTCTTAAGAATTTAGTTCTAAGCCTTTCTCTTGCCCTCAAAACGGTGTCCCTGTTGAATTGCCTTGTTTTCTTTTCTTTTCTTTTCAGGGAACTAAACTCAGGGCCTTGCACTTGCCAGGCAAGCACACTTCCACTGAGCTTAATTCCCAACCCCAAGTCCCGTTGAAAGGACTGTAATAAATACAAGCATTTACATGGCAATTTAACATCACTATCAAAAAATTTAAAGAGCTGGTGGAGTGGCTCAACAAGAGAGAACCTGCCTAGCAAGCATGAGGCCTTGAGTTCAAACCCCAGTACCAAAAAAGATAAAATAAAATATGTGTGTATTCTTTGATCAACCAATTTCATCTTGAGGAACCTACCCTGTGAAGTACTGGGTTGCAAATATTAAAACATCCATTCATTGCAGCATTGTTATAAAGGTGAAAAATCAGACATGCTAATTCCCATATGGGATATCACACAAAAGAATGAGCTAAACTTACGCATATTGATATGAAAACACCTCCAAGATACTCTGTTCAATGAAAAACAGCAAAGTGTAAAACACCAGGTATAGAATAAACTTACTTACCATATAAAGTGTGTGTTTGTGCACACGTACATGTGTGTGCATGTCTGTGTGCATTCATGTGTGTGAAAATGAACATACTGGAAATGAGATGAAAGCATCATCCCAAACAGACAACAGAAGCTACCGTCTGGGGAAGAAGAGTAGGTCCATGTGTGGGAGCAACTGGAGTAGACTCAAAGAGAATGGCAGTTTCAGGAAGGGACTTTCACTTTGTATTCCACATTCATCTGTATTAAACATTTATGTAATTTATATAAAACGTTTGTTCTTTATAGACAAGAAGACAAGATGCAATATCAAATTTTAGCTAAACTTCAGAATTACTTAAAGAGGATACTAAAATAGCACAAAAGGTAAAGACTGTTGGCAGTCAAAAAATATCCTTTATAGACTTTACCCTTCAAAAGAATAAAGAAAATTTGTGGGCAGCACCAAGGAGCGGTTATAAATGAACATGACAGTGCTGTTGTGAGAAGGAAAGAATCTGTATCTCAGATCTTGAAGAAATAGAGACACTGAAGTCACAATCATTATCAAAAGGATGCAATCATTCCAAATTTCCCTTACAAGCATAATTTCAACAATGAATCCTATTATTTTCATAGAAAATGTATACTGTGTGGGCACGCTTTTTGGATTTGAAAACCTGCAGGGCATAAAGAGGGAACTAGATGGTGTGAAGTGTTCGCTCTTACCTGCACGTTTTCTTCTGTAACCTGAATTTCAGCAGTGTAAACATAATCAATTAGCATCCTCAGCGTCCAGCCGTCCACCTCTTTGATTCGGACTCTCTTTGCTCGGCTCTCACTCATCTCACCTAAAACACAAAGGAGTAAAGTGACATTGTAGGAAAACGCTGCTGTAGAAATACAATTTAGGTCTACATCAGAACAGACTGAGCCATCCTCTTGCCACTCACCCTACTGGGTAGACATCATCAGCCACTTTTTACAGACCTAAAACATTCCCCCACCTCTTCCAAAAGCTTACCTGAGCAAACCATAAAATGCACTTTCATTACCCACTTGTACCTGAAGATCACATCAGAGCAGTAACGGTTCACATGTCCAGATGCATGAACTATAACACCTATACTGTAGCATCAGTAGCTATGTGTCTGAGCAGAGTTTTCTTTATGGATTTCTACTTATGCCTAGAAGAGTAATGATGTTATCACCTTTGGCTAATGGCGATGAGCACCTGCTGCGGAGGACTCACTTGGTTAGCATCATTCATTCAACAAGCACACAGATGCCTGCCAGAGGCCCGCAAGGCCTACTCCAAACTCAAAGGCTGGGCCCTCAGCAGGAGGTCACAACCCTCAAGCAGTAAACAATGAGAAAGCAAGTTGCCTAAGATGCTTAAGTTAGTCAATGGCAAAGGCTTATTGCAAATTGAGCCCAAGTTCAGCTCCTGCTTGTCGTCTGCAGTAACTTCATCCTGAAGTCATTTCCATAACAGTACTTATTAAAACCAGGCACCATTTTGCATTGTCGCTGGATAAGTGAGACAAGACCTCCTTCTAAGGAGAAAGAAGAAAGAGAAGCAAAAAACAGAATGGATGGTCCCTAAACTAAAGGGTCTTGGGGAGAACAGAAAGCAGGCTTGAGTACCTATGTGCAGACAACATAAAATGACCTATATAAGGAGACACAAGCTATTGCATGGTGGAGGTAAAAACCTCAACTAATAATTAAAAGAGCAAAGAATAATGTTGTGTGCCACAGAACACCCTCTGAAGGAGGCTTGGTTCTAAATTCACTAGGTTTTAAAGATAAAAGGCATGAAAATGATGCCCACCACCTTCACCTGACTCCAGCATCTCTTGCCAAAAACTAACACAATGGTCTCAAGATTTCTTGAAAGCTCATTTCTTTTTCAGATACAGTGCACTGTCAGTGACCATAAATGATAAGAAAAGCCTATGGGAATCTGTAATTACACAAAATTCTTTAGCAAACAAAAACTCTGGGGAGGAAGCAATAATAATAGTGATGTACATTTAACTGCACGCTTCCCTAGAGATTACCTGACAAGATCTCAGAAAGAAGCTGTTCTTCTCAAAGCTACCCTGCTACTTCCGAGGGGGGAACAACCATCTGTACTACAAGGGATGGATGCAGGAATGAGAAGGAGGTAAATGTGAATATTTAACAGGAAGAAAGGGGGACTGGATTTTGGATCTGTTGTTACAGCAAATGGAAAAAAAAAAAAAAGAGTGGAGGAGTATGGAGAAATTTCATCTTGATATATGGCACCTTCCTCTATCTTTCCCTTTCTCAATGGGTTGCATAATCTGAGGGCTCTTTTGTTAAGACAGTCTGGTAATTCCCATTTGGACTTTAGACAAAGGTCACATACCTAATTCCTCTTCAGGGACACTGTGATGTAGAAAACCCTGCAAGGCCAAGGCCATGTATCTAGTTCTTAGACCCAAGCATGACTTAGCTTTAAGTTACATAGGTGGCTCTACCAAGCAGTTTTCGCTGTTAAGGTTTTTAAGGTAATGCCACAGGATGCACTTTGCTAATTCCCATATTTTCTTAATGTGTCATTTTTAAGACTAATTGCTTCCCCAGGAAATTCATCTGCTTCCAACAAATTCAACCTCAATTACATATTGCTTTTAAAATGTTTTCCTTTTTTTCATATTTGCAAAAATAACAAAAAACTAAAAGCTTACCACTGACTGCTTTAAGAGATCAATCAAATCAATAGATAAATTCTAATGACTATAATAAATCAAAGCACATACTGACAGGAATTGTAAAAGCTATTTATAGCTAACTCTAGTCTCTTAGTTACTGCCCTCTGCTATATTTAGAGGAAATCTTCAAACAGTGTAGCTTTGTGAGGTTTCTGCTTGATAATGCATTTTTAAAAGCTACCTAAGGATACTGCACCATTTGTACAGGAAAGTCTCTCAACAGTTCAGTCTTTTGTTTATATGCTTTCACTTTTTAACTTGGAAGCTATATAAAATAACTCAGAAGCAATATTAGAATATCCAGACACCTAGGCTCAATACCTGAGTGACAGTCATCCTTGACTCTCTCCTCTTCCTTACCCACCAGTCCCATGGTTCACCAAAACCTACAGAATGAACAAACCCTGGATAGACCTCTGATCAATCCTCCCTCCTCTTCTCCATCCCTCTGTCACTGTGCCAATACCATTATAGTCACCCCTAATTCTTTTCCTGCCTCCAGTGTTAACTTCACAAATCTGACCATGGTACTCAAGATCCTCCCCCCGCTCCCAATCCAAGAATACAGCCCCTTCCAGACCCAGCCTCTGATTCATTATCTATTCCCTCCCTCCCACTTCCAAACTGACAATCTATTAATAAATGGTTTGTAGTTTTCCACACAGACCAAACAGTTTCTTACCTTGACGCCCTTGCTGAACTTTGTCCTCTTGGTCTCCCCACCCCATTCCCAAGGCTAACTTCTACCTGAACCTCTCCAGGAAGTCTGTCAGTGGCCCACACTGGACACAGTTAGGCTCCTCATGTAAATCTGCTCTGCCTGGTTCTCTGCACCTAAGTTCTTCAGCTTCTAGAGAGTGAGAATAAGTCTTTCTTAGCTCTAACCCACAGCTTAAAATAGAGTAACCCAATAAATATTGCTACAATGAATAAAAAGTCAAACAAGTGCCATTAACCTAACACATTTGTCTTGTATTCTAGTTATGAAGGATTTCGATCCACATTTACTGAACACCCATTCTACATTCAAGGCTGATCCATTAACTTCCATTAGCAAATATTGTATCATCTCTCTTATTTAAGAAAAGAAATGAAGTCCTCCCAATTATAAAAGTTTAAGACATAGATATGGCTAAAAACATTTCCATCTCAAGGACCTTTAACCAAGTCTCCTGAGGCCCTACACCAACTAGTAACTTCATTTATCCATTCTGAATGGGAGAAGTGAAACATGAAAAGACTTGAGAGGAAAAACCCTAAGATCCATTGCATGAAAATTATTCTATGATTCTGATTTCCATTATTATTTGCTAGTAAAAAAATATGAAAATATAAAAATATAATACAGAATATATTATTCATTATATAATGCAGAAAGTTTGACTATAATGAGACTGTAAGAAATTATTTAATAAATAATTTCTGGTCTTCTACTCTAACTTTACTGCCCATCGGTTCTTAGTCTTGGGCTATGAAGAAGCTACTGACACTCGGGCAATTTCAGTCTTCAAGGTGACCCAGAAGCCCCCACCATCCACTCTGTTGTGGCCATAGCACGTAACTCCGTAGTTCTACGACTAACTGTGCTCACCCACCAGTTTTAATCTGATTTGGGTGACTTCTGGGAAAGGTTTTCTGTGTCCTAAATGAGAGAGCAAAAGGGTCTTCCTGCTTCCTCAAGAGCATGGATCCACTTGGTAGACACCTTGCATTTACTAGGAGAACCAGCTTGAGGATACTACTCTTATTGAGGTTGTCGAGAGGAGGAAGGGAGAAACAGAAGGAAGCAGATTCCTGGTGAAATCCTCAAGCTGCAGAGGCAACTGTGCCTGGTGCCCAGCTCCTTTCTTACAATTTAAACCAGTCTGAGTGGCATTTTCTATGACATGCAGCCTCAGGCACTCTGACTTATGTTCTTTATGCACAACATCCTATGTAATTCTCTTCACAGCAGCCATCCATGTCAGAGCTCTCTCTTCTGCATGAGTTTACTGACTTTCTAGCCTTCCTTCCTCTTCCCAACTAGACTCACAAGAACAGGACTTGTCTATTTTGTGCATCTTCACAATCCTCAAAGCCTAGGAGGACATCATCTAGCAAACAGTAAGATGCCCATAAATATTTCTTCATGAATGAGAGCATCTTAGACAAACATAACTATGCATACAACTTTGAAAACTGTACTTCATAATCATTCAAATCATAACCATCTTTTCCTAGTCTAGTTTATCTTGCTGAATCATATTCAAATGACAAAAGAAGTCACCGAAAAGCAAATAGAAAAAAAGCAGAAATAAAAATTTGGTATGTCTCACTAGATTTCAATAATTTTAGTCTATAGCATCAAATAAACTTAAATATATCTGGTAAACACACAACCTTTTAAGTACATTTGTGCAGGGCATCTCACAGTGCATACCTGAAAATCAAGCTACTCAGGAGGCAGAGGAAGGAGGACTGAAAGCTCAAGGTCAGCCCAAGCCAAGGTGGTGAGACCCTCTGAAAAACAAAAGGTCTGAGGGCAAAGAACAAGTGGCAGATCGCTTACTTAGCATGTTCCAAGCCTTGGGTTCAATCCCCAGCACCATAAAAAATAATAAATAAATACCACATTTGTAACAAGTAATCTAAAAACACAAGAAACCAATTCAATATGTTCTTTCTCAAGTAACAGTTATCCACCTGTCCTTGCTCTAAATAGGCCCATATTTTCACAAAGCAAAACCTGTGACTACATCATGGAATTACTTTTCACCTCCTTCATCTACACAAGTACTTGGAACTACAATGAGTAATGGAATTCTTTTTTAGGTGATATAATTTGAATGAAAAATTCTCCTACATGTTTATGGAAGATTAAAAATAAAGGACAAAGCAGGGAATAGTAGCATACACCTGTCAGGAGGCTGAGGCAGGGGAATTGAGATTTTGCAGCCGGTCTGTCTGAGAAAAAAGGGGGGGGAGGGGGAAACAAGAAAAAAAGAACAACTGCAGATTCTCTATTTCCTAGTAGGCTGTCACAGAAAAAAACAGTCACTGAGCAAGAGACAGGAATGGAATCACCCAAGGGTATCCTTGGTGATTTTACTGTTTTGCTTTGTTTTTACAATAAAGTCTAACACAAAGTTCCAGACTATGAAAAACAGATAAAGAAATAACGGATATGCAGGTATAGTGATGCATGACTGTAATCCCAGCACTGGGGAAGCTGAGTCAGAAGGATCACAAGTTTGAGACTAGCCTGGTCTACAGAGTGAGTTTGAGGCCAGCCTGGGCTACATGATTCACTTTTTCACATTTCAGCAGACTTGATTAAATGAGTACAAATCTGTATCGTTTTTCCCTCATCTTTACTAAATTCCTAACTAAATAATAGATTCAAAAGTAGGGAGGGGCACAAAGATTGTCAGAAAGGTTAACAGCACCTATTGCTGAAGAAGCATAAGTTTAATCTAAATAATATACATACTCACATTTTAGATGTGGTAGAAAATAACATAATGTTCCTATTTTGCATTTATCTTAGCACACAGCAATCTAAAATCTGATCAAGTACAGAAGGTTTGCTGTCAGGCAGAAACACAGTGAACAGCAAGAACTACTAGCTAATTGACAATACTTATAAACTCAAAATGCCTTCAAGGCTTCATTCCCTCCATCAGGCAAGTTCACGTACTCAAAACGGCCATGTCAACCAAAACACAGAGTACAGAACCATTAGATCATAAAGAGGGAAACTGAAATGCAGTTTAGATTACAAAGCAAATGAAAAGAAGGCTAAGACATAATAACCTCTTCTATTCCATCTCTCTGGATGGCAGGGAGTTTGAAACTCCTATGTCCCCCAAAGTCTTTTGAGAGGAAAGGAGACTAACCTCGATCTTGTAGATCTAAGTTTTGTTTTTTTTTTTTCTTTTTTGAAAAAGTGTTTTCAAGACAGGTTTCAGCCTCCCAAGGAGCTAGAACTATAGACACACAGCACTACAGCTGGCTTGTAGGTCTAAGTTACACGCCTGTAATCCTACCTACTCAAGAGGCAGAGATCAGGAGGCTCGAGGTTCAAAACCAGCCTGGGCAAATAGTTCTAGAGACACTATCTCAAAAAAGCCCTTAACAAAAAAAGGCTGGTGGCATGGCTCAAAGTGTAGGCCCTGAGTTCAAGCCCTGGTACCAAAAAAAAAAAAAAAAAAAAAACTATATTCGTGTTGCACTGTGGAAAATAAAACAGAGTCTAAGAAAGTAGAAAAGACTAGTAAAAAAGACAGAGAGGATAAGAGGAAGGGGCATGAGAGAGTATGGGGAAGTGACCCCGATCAAACCACACAATATGCATTTATGAAGCTGTCACAAGGAAACCCCTCACTTTGCACATTTTTAAGACAACACAAAAATAATTTTTAGATGTGTAGCCTAAGGTTTTCTAATCTCCTTTTCTTTAGAATACAATGAAATCTGGGAACTTGGAGCACAAACAATGATGGCCATGACAATAATGACAACATTAATTGAGCATTTTCTCTACACCACAAAAAAAAAATGCTAAAAAGTGCACATGTGATCTCACTTAGACTTTACAAAAGACTCTGGGTGACACTGTCATTCCTATTTTCCAGATGGGAAAAATAAAGCACAGAATATTCAAGTGAGTTTCCCAAAATCCTAGAGCTCTGACAAAAAAGTGGCAGTAGCTGCTTCACCTGTGGAGACAGCACTTGACTAGAACATTTTTAGGCTGACACATTCCAGATCGAATCTTCTTACACACCTACAAAGCCTCCCTAGCAAAGTATCCAGGGTGATAAATAAGATGTAAACCAAAGGCTGAAGTGAACCCAATACATAAAAATCAGACTAGTTTCACTTCATGGACTGTTCAGATTAGCCTCAGCTGACCGCACCCTCCTAAATTGCTTCCCCAATTTGGCTCACCACCCTTCTGTTATCCTTCTACCATTCCTGACTATTTAATGCTGCTCAAGAACAGCTAACCTGCAAAAGGCTGAGAAGTGAGGCCTCGGTCTCTTCTCTACTCCTAAGTCACGCAGGAAATTTTCCTAAGTCCACTCTCTCCACATGGCCTTCTGCACCCATCTTCATCGAGTAAATTCTCTAAGCCATCAGGAAATGTCAGACCCCTTATCTCAAAGCTGCCCATCACAGCCCCACCACCCACATCACTGAGATCATCTGTTTGAAGTATGCACATCTCATCTCCACAAATACACATTAAGTGATCAGGGCAGGAGGCACATTAACGTTGCTTTTATATTCCTTGACCTATCAAGAAATACGGTAGGCATAGGAAATGCTTAACAATCTCTAAAACTTTGTATGTTTTTTATATAACTATATCTGTCTTTGTATTTGGTTTATCTATACACTAAGATTATAAACTCACTGATGGAACAGATAACTTCATTTCTTTGCACAGTAACTCTTATCAGAGGCTGTACTTTTTGCAGTTTTAGTTATCCATAGTCAACCACAGTCTAAAAATATTAAATGAGAAGTTCCAGAAATAAGCAACTCATAAATTGAACACTGATCTGAGCAGTATGAAGGAATCCCGTGCCATGCTGGCCTGTCCCACCTGAAGGTGAATCATCTCTTTATTCAGCATATCCACTCTGTGTATGCTGCCCATCAATCACTAGTACCTGTCAGGATTATCACATCGACTAGTAAGGCACTGAAGAGCTTATGTTCAGGTAATCCTATTTTATTTAATAATGGCCCCAAGGCACAAAACTAATGATGCTGGCAATTTTATTACAGCATGTTGTTTTTATTACTCTATTTTTACTATTAGTTACTGCTGTCACTCTCTTACTGTGTATAATTTAGAAATCAAACTTTATAGGTATATATGTATGTATAGGGAAAAACAAGGCTTTGGTACTACCTACAATCTCAGGCATCCACTGAGGGGTCTTGGAAAGTATCCTCCACCAATAAAGCAGGATATATATATATATAAAAAGATTAAGTTAGGGCTTCATCAACTGTGACAGGCATAAAGTCTTCCCATTCCAAAAGTATTAAAAGAATACTACATAGATTTCTATACTTGCAAAGTAAAATCTAAGCATATGCAAGAACCACCCTATTTTGCATACTTCCAAATAAGTGATATTACATAAACATCTTTTTGTCCACTGTAAACACTGGATGAAGCAAATGTAAAAATTATTTGGAAAAAAGAAAACATTTTTTTTTGCCAAAATTATAAAGTATCAAAGTCACTATAAATAGCAAGAAAGCAAAGTGAATTAATATATGTAAATACAAATGTAAACAAAAATGTGCACATTTACTGAAAAATGAAGACAAGTAGGAAATGGAAGTAAAACACGGGCATTTCCATTACGATTTGTCTTTTCATAAGAGTAAAATGTTAGTAACAAAAGAAAACACGGAAAGAAAAGCTCAGATCTGCGTACATTTACAAAATACTCAGAATTAACATATTTCATACCTGTAAACATGGCGTGAAAATAAGGACTACAGGCAGCCAGCACCACTCTGTGTGCAGAGATTTCCATGTCTTCTGCCACAATTGTGACATCACACAGCAAATTTTGACTGTTCAGAAAACAAAGAAAATGTGAATGGCTCCAATAACACACGCACGGAACATCCTACGTAAAGCCCACTTTCTGAAGCTGAGCCTAACTTAAGAGCCTGACATTCTTTCAAACCCCCAGCATGAGGGACTCAGAAAACGGTTGTGATGAAGGCCCAGCACGCCCTGGGTCTTATTCACAATCCTGTCTCGGTTTAACACAGAAATCTTTCGTTACTGGTTTCTCCACCTGAAGAAAGTCCCAGGCAGGAAACCATCAGCGGACCAGAAAGGGAGAGGCAGCCTAAACAGGAACAGGGCTGGCAGCAGTGGCACATGGCAATCTAACATTAAGTTAAAGAAAAAATAAAGCACAAAAAAAAAAAAAAAGAAAAAAACTAAAGTGAGTCAAATATCCCCTTCAAAAATAAAAAAGATACTCAAAATGAGTCCGGGTCATCAAGTGAGGTAAAATTACATTCAATTACACCTGCTGCTTAAAGACATCTGGGCATCCGGAGGTTAGAGCGTTTTACCAATGCAAAATATCTTATTTCTTAAAGCCAAAATATGTTACCACTGACAAAATTAAAAAGCATTTTGTTGCCTTCAAACAAGCCATTATTCAGTCATCATAATTACACCTACAATTTTAAAATTCCCTTATAAACATGTGGGGGCACTTTTCATATGCTATATACAGTGCTAGATTAGTCTCTCTGGCCAATTAAGAAAGTCACAGGTCTTTTTAACAAAAAAAGATTGCTGACACTTATTCCAGAATAGGCTAAAAGGTCCCAAAGCTCAAAACCTGCCTTGCTTGTAGTCATACCACGAGTGACTAGAACGGGTGTGGCACACTCAAAATATCCTTTCCACACCTCAAAACACTGAGTGCTAAATTTATGTGTCTGTGTACAAAGGACATAGCCCACACTCAGCCCTCCTCAAGTATTCGGATAGTTCTACAAGGATAGGCTACTACTTCTTTAATTTCCTAGCAGCTCACAAGCAACCTTTGTGCATGAGCTTAACCAAGTCCTTGAGGTTTCCACTGGCCATACTGCTTTCGAACTTGTTCCCGTGGGGTTCACACTGAAATTTTTTGGAAAGCCTACTGGCATCTCTCGTTCCTCTAGACTAGAAAAATGTGGACAAACAGGAATGCCCCAGCCTTGGAGATGACTGCACTCCAGAGCCTCACTACTGTTCAGCTTGCTGTGCCATTTACACTGAAGTATGGCCCATGGGTGGTGCTGATCTAATGGATCACAATGCTGGGTGAGACCTACGGCATGTCCTGTATTAGAGCCATAAAAGAAGGCACAATGTCACTGATTTCGAACTCTTCCAGATCAGGTGAAGAACTGATGTCTACCATCAGCACAGAGAATAAAAAACCACTCAGCATTCCATGAATTCCACAGGGTCACCCGAATGAGAAGAACTGGCAATGCTCAGGGGAGACCTTTACCTGCACATGGCATCTCAGTCAGTATTATACTGATTCCCAAAATCAACATAAGGAAGCCAAGGTTAAAGAGCATTTGTCCATCATGTGTGAGGCCTTGGGTTCTGGACCCAGCACAGAAAGAGGAGAGGAGATGAAGAAAGAGAGAGGGGAGGGAGGGGAGGAAGGAGAGGAGAGAGGGAGGGGGAGAGGAGAGAGGGGAAGAGGAGAGAGGGGGAGAGGAGAGAGGGGGAGAGGAGAGAGGGGGGTAGGAGAGGAGAGAAGGGGAGAGGAGAAGGGAGGAGAGGTGAGGAAAGAACAACCTGCCTAAAGTCCCCATGGGTTTCTATATCAAGATACAAATCCACACCATCTAACTCCAGACCCTTTAACCACAACACAAAACCACCTAAAGCTAGGTAGTTTAAAGATCTGCTAAAGCTTAAAACAAGTAATACCATGATTTATTTCTTTATATACTAGAAACTTTTTAAAAAATTCTATATGTAGGTGATTAAAATGCCCAACTTTAGTGGGCTTCTAGTACTATACCTATAGAGTATAAAAATCAAATATACACACATCCAACAAATCACTTCAAGACCATTCTGCCCCTAAGAGGACTAGCAGAAAGAACGGGCCATGCCAGTTAAATAGGAAGCACCACAGTAAAGATACTTTGGGAGGCTGGGCATGGTGGCTCACACCTGCAATCCCAGCTACTTGGGAGACGGACATTTTTAGGATTGCAGTTTGAGGACAATCCACGCACAAAGTTAGTGACAATCCATCTCAATCAATAACTTGAGCACACTGGTGGCATGCACCTGTCATCCCAGCTACTGCGAGTCATAGGCAGGAGGATCATGGTTTGTGGAAGGCCCCAGGCAAAACCCTAAGACCTTATCTGAAAAAATAATTTATAAGCAAAAGACAGAGAGATACAAAGAAATCACACAAGACAGAGAGAGAATATCCTAAACAGAAAGAACTGTATGTGTGTTGCATGAAACCAAAAGCAGCCAAGTACAATGGGGAACTGAGGACCAAGCCAAGGGTGGGGGGAGAAAGAAGGGTATGAGTGAAGGAGAGGAAGAGTGAAAGGGTCGGCACAGTCACAGCCTCTCAAATGAGGACATGCAGGTTTTCCTGGGGTGAACAACACATCTAGATACAATTCAAACATGATTCAAATGCATCTTTATGCCTATTTTCCTCATGTCTTTCATCCTTCCTGCTGCTCTAGTTTCCAGATTGATCTTAAGTAGAATTATACTTGAATACCTTAAAAAAAAAGAATCACACAATTATATTCGGCTTCAATTACAATTACTTGTTGATCTGAACTGTCTAGCCTAACACCTGCTGGCTATTACATAATTAGCCTGGCCTTACAGGCTTATTAGTTGATGTTAGTGAACTAATAAGGCTAAAACATTGCCAAAATATCATGCAGGCACACCGTGGGTTAGGTCATAGGGAGTCTAAGGCCCACGTTACAAACCAAGTGCATACTCAGTTTTAGTGTTTGATTTTTTTATCTCTGTTTCCAGTAATAACATTATTTTAAAATGGCCTTCAAATACAAGAGGCCTGACTAATCGTTTTGTCAGTATATGTCACTGAGTGGACCATTGAATATAATCAGTGTTTGTACACGAGTCTGCTCCTTGCCTCTTTCCAAATGTGCACTCTTACACGAAGCTGAATGATTTGGGGATACAGAGCAGAGGGCTAGGAGTTAAAGTCTAAACTAGCCAGGCGCTGATGGCTCACACTTGTAATCTTAGTTACTTGGGAGGCCGAGATCAGAAGGATCAAGGTTCAAGACCAGCCCAGGCAAATAGTGCAAGAGACCACCATCTCGAAAATACCCAACACAAAAAAGGCTGGCAGAGTGGCTCAAGTGTTAGAGCACCTGCCTAGCAACTAAGACCCTGAGTTCAAGCCCCAGTACCACAAATAAATAATAAGATAAACTAATTTTAGTGGCCCATACCCAGAGTCTTCCATGGTGAATCTATGTGCTTATGTTTCCATTATTTAAAGAAGGAATGGACTATAGAAAGAAAAGGACTTCAAAATAATGAAGTTATTATTTAGCAAAAATTACACTTATTCATTCATCAAAAATCCAGGAAGTACCAACTAGGAGCCAAGCACTAAGTCAGCTTACCACAAAAAACAGCAAGGAGTTTGCAGGTGAGTGGGGAAACACACAAGGAAACAGGATTACAGAATGAACCTATGACTGTAGCATTGGGAAAGTGTGGGGTTTTAGGAAACACATGGGAAAAGCTGAGCCCAAACTATGGGAAAGCTTCAGAAAGGATGTGGCTTTGACGTTCAAATCTAAAAGGAAAGTATGGGAATCAGAGTTTATGTAAAACTCTAATGGCACAGAGAAAAGAAGAAAGGTATTCCATCTCCTAAATGAAACAATCTCTGGAAAATTGGTCCTTCTTGAGGAAAAAAATCACTTTGAAATAGTGAAACATGGCTGCAAATGACAAGCTGCCTTTTGACTCTGATATAAAATGTCTGAATTCATAAGAATGGAAAAACCTATCACTGTGTCTAAAATACACAGGGCATACTTCTTAAAGTAAAATATACCAAATGAGATATCAAAAATAATTACTTGTCACATGAAAAGAATTTACTTATGACTGAAAGTGGAGGTGGCAGGGAAATTACACAGCATCTTTATCCCTTTCTTCCTTGGGTGCTAGGGAAAATCTGGAGACACTCCCTGGCCCACGGAGCAGAAGCAGAGTGACAGCTGAGGTGCCAGGGTGATGGGATGAGTGGCCAGTCAGAGCCCACAGGGAAACACCACCCCCACACACAGGAACAGTACCAGATGTTAGAACAAAGAAACCAGAGCACAGAATTAAATGCAAGGACACAGGCCAGAAGCCAAGGAACTTAAAACTGGTCAGGAAGCAGAGGGGGCAGGTGTAGAGCTGCTTTTTATAACCTGACCCCTTGATCACACAAGTGTTAGCCACGAGGCACCAAAGGGGGTAGGTAAGGAGAACAGCTGTTTCAAGGCAAAAGACTTCCTGACTGTTGACTTAAATTAAGACATATTTAACCAAATTTCCTGTAACTGACAATGTCATTTAACAGATGAGGTAGATACATTCTGTCTAAAATATCAATCGTGTTAGCACCATCTTCCTTGTTTTTCTCCCTAAAATAATGATGGAGAGTGGCATCTGTGAATTCCTGAGGCAGGTAAGCACAGGGAAGAGCTGAGGTGCTGATTTCAGTAAGACTCCCCTCCACGCTAAGAGTCTTGAAAACCAGCACAGCCACCTCAGGAGCTTAACACCTGCTGAGATTTTGAAACACAAAGCTCAAGAGGTGACAGTCAACTTGGAAAGTGACTGGAAAATCTACCACAATCAATGCTTTAGAAAGTGTTTTACAGTATGAAGGGTCCCAAAATAGGAACTCTATCACAGAATCAAGACTGTAGAATGGAAGTAAAAAACAAGGTGGAGCCACCAGAAGACACTGGGAAGGAAAATGTGGTACTGACATCATCTCTATACCCAGAAACGT